CTTGAAATTTTGTACTGTTAATGATACGTATTTTTGTAGTTAATAAAATGCCCCTAAGACTTTTGCCTCTTTACACCAGGGGCACTACAATTCAAAGTACAGTGTGACCAAATTTAAACTGAACTGATAGTTCTTTAAATCTACTGCACATTGGAAAAATAAAACAACTAATTTGAAAGTGTCCTTAGTTCCCTACCAGTAATTGAGAATGCTGATTTCAGTATAATTTTTCAAAAAAAGTTTCTTAAAAGCTTCTACAAATTAGTCAAAATTTCCTAATTAAGGCTCATTTTCAATTTGTAAATTTTTAAGGGACTTATGGTGCAGAAACTGACTTAAGTATTAAACAACATGTAAAAAATTTAATAACTATTTTATCGTTATAAGCTAAATTTTGACATCTATTAAAAAAGTATAGACATTACAGATAGAAAAAGATTCTCTTTACTTTTAGAAGAAACCCGGGCAACGCCGGGTATGAGCAGCTTGTTTATTATTATATATTACTAGCTATACCCAGTGTGCTTTGCTACCCTAAAATCAATGTATATAAAAAACACTTTGCTATTTTGAAGATTATAACTATAATAGTTTTTTAGATATACATACATTTTTTACATTTTGGGGATGTCACAGACCAAAAAAATTATATCTCAATAATTTCTTAACCGATTTAATATTTTTCAATTGTTTCATATTTTTTACGGAAATGTGTACAATATATAGATCTAAATACAAATTTTTATATATTTTTTAATTTTTTTGCAATTGAAGATCATTTTTGACCCATACATTATTAGAAAACATATTTTTAAAATTTTTTTATTTTATCCCATTTCTTTATGAATAAATCTGATAAAAATTTACAAAAATAGAATATTTTTTGGTAAAATCAAAAATTTACCAAATCTCTCATTTCTAAAGTAAATTATCAATTTGAATAATAAAGCTTATATTTGTGTTGCATATCTTAAGTTGATATTTTACTCCAGCAAAGAGAGATTTGGTAAATTTTTGTTTTTAAGAAAAAAAATTGTATTTCTGTCAGTTTTTATCTGATTTCAACGTTTCATATCTTATTTTATTCATAAAAATATGGGCTAAAATAAAAAAATATTTAAAAAATATATTTTCTAATGAAGTGTGGGTCAATAATTATCGTGAATCGTATCCGATTTTTAGGGTATATTGAAGATTCTAAAAATGGTACTGTAATCTACTAGACCTACCAATTTCTCTAGGTCTCGCGATTAGTGTATTGATTTTATGTAATTTTGTCACACCGTGTAATTGTTTTAATTTTAATTGTTGGCGTAAAAAGGGACGTGGCGTCCGATTCAGATCTTATATAGTTTATAGTTCCTCCTGAAGTCAGACCTATCGGTATACCAAATTTCATGTAAAACGGTTCAGAAGTTTTCTGTGAGTCTCAAATGAAAATTTTGTATAACAATTATATAGAAAAAAGTGAGCATAAGAGGAATCGTGACGTCCAATCATGATTTTATATAGCCTATTGTTCCACTTAGAATAGAACTATTAGTGTTCTAAATTTCATGTAAATCGGTTCAGTAGTTTGGCCGCGAAAGCGTAACAAACAGACAGTCTCTTTCATATAATTATAGGATAGGATATGGGTAAGGATAGTTTTATAAAAAGTGGGCGTAGAAAACCGACTTGTTCCATAATTTGTTATTTTTAAATAGGAACTTATTTCATTTAAAAACAAGTAAGAGTGCTATATTCGGCTGTACCGAATCTTATATACCCTTCACCATAGTGTATTTAATATATATCAATTTCATAAAATTTATATTTATTTCATTTTCCCGACTAGGTATATACAGTGTCTCACATAAATATTCGAATTTATTATTTTTTATGAATTACTGTGTTATTTTATGATGCTACTTTAAAAATAATAATAGTATTTAAAATTTTTTACAGAAATTTTATTAATTTATATTATTTTTACGAAATACAAGAAAAAAGTAATAAAAACTCATTAATGGTTTCCAAGAAAATGGAAAAAACCCAAAAAGGGTCATTTCAGGTACTGCGAAAAATATTCGCATTTTTTCTAAGAACTTTTTTAGAATCCTTAAACACGTGTTTTATTGCCCATTAAATAACCCATTATGCAGGTAGTCGTTATATGGAATATACAACATTATATTTTTTGGAAATTTGCATAATTATGTTGTAAATTCTTCCTGTGTAAGCGTTTAAAAAGTTCAAAGAAAAAGAGTTGATCTATTCAAATTAAAAAATTTATTTATATCTGTATAATCAAGGCCGATCAATTAAATACACATAGGAAATGTTTGATAGATTCCCATCGACAATATATTTTGTCATTACACGCATGGAACAAAGAATTCCATCGAGTATTTACCATTATCAAGTCGTCCAAAACTGCTGTCAATACAGGACGACAGAGAAATACTGAGGAAATACCGAAGGAACCTTCATCTATCAGCTCCAAAAATTAACAACGAACTAAGGACAGTCCTGTGAATAAAAATTAGTGTCGAAATTGTGCGCAAAGTACTAGGGAGCAATAATTTGCATGGTCAAGTACCAAGGTGGAAACCGCTCATATCGAAGTTAATCGATGTTAAGTGTCTTCACTCCGCAAATAGACTCATAAGTAAGAATATTGGATTCTGGAAGGAGGTTATCTTCGATGATTGGAACAAATATAATATTTTTGGCTCAGATGGTCGTCAGATGATATGGCGAAAGCTTGGAGATGCCTTAGAATTATCTTACTTAAAACCAACTGTGAAGGACTCAAGTTGCTCTGCCATATTTTGGGGTTCTGTGTCCGTCCACGGTGTTGGACCGCTAAAATTTATTATTGTAATTATAGACTAGAAGGTCCACTTGTCAATTTTAGAGCAGAATTTGCATGCTAGTACCACCAAAATGGGGCTACAACCCATTCAATTTATTTTTCAACACAAAAACGATCCAAAATACACGACCTGGTACGTGAAAATGTTGATCATTTACAACACTAAGTATCTTCTTTCACCATATTTTCAATGGAGTTAATGTCTGGACTTAAACTCCATTGAAAATTTGTGGTTATATTAAGAAGAACAACTTTTAAATCACTCATTATCCTCTAAAACCACCATACGGTTGCTTTGAATTAAGAGTGGGATATAATAACGCCAGAACTATTCCATAAATTGGTAGAAACGGTCCCACGAAGCTTGAAAGTTGTTATTAAAAACAAAGGCTACTATACAAAACATTAATTTCATTTTAATTATTTGTTTTTACTTCATAATGCTAATCTAAATATGATTTATACAAAAAATTCGAATACTTTTGTGAAGCTATTTTTTGCACTTTTTTTTTAAAGTTAAATTAGTTTAAGTAAATTATTTTTTTTTTTAATTTTTAAAATGTGGTATAAAATTTAAGGACTGTCTGGACAACATAAAAAATTTATTTATTTTTTCCAAAAAATCTATTATAAAATGATGTCTGTTTTCATAATACATTAAATTCGAATACATTAAAATCGAATACTTATGAGAGACACTGTATATCATTATTATAGCAATAGCAAAACAAAATGAACAACAACAACGCTAAACGAAATAACCACACAAAAACAAAATACACAACGCAATAAAACCAACAGACATCCAAACATACGAAACTGAATACACCAAGAAACAAAAACAATATACACAAGGCAATGAAACACACAGCCATCCAAACATATGAAACGAAATACTCAAATAAGCAGTGTAGTTGTTGTTGCTTATATCAAAGCATGGAAAAAATTGTCTTTTTTATGAAATTTTCACAGGTTGTCTCGGATTTTTGCTTATATCTCCGTTGTTTATGAACGGATTTTGCTGATTTTAAATAGGAAGCTTTTCGAAAGCATGTCTGATAGAATAATTGAAGATTTGGATCCCGAAGATATCTGGGGTCTTCAGAAAACTGATTTCAACAGACAGACAGACGGACAGACAGACGGACATGGCTTAATCGACTCCGCTATCTATAAGGATCCAGAATATATATACTTTATAGGGTCGGAAAATTATATTATAGAAATTACAAACGGAATGACAAACTTATATATACCCTTCTCACGAAGGTGAAGGGTATAAAAATACGGTTTCAAATAAAGTGTGGGTCAAAAATGATCTTGAATTGTAAAAAATTGGAAAAAGATGGTTTTTGAATGTGAATCTTAAATAGAAGCTATAGTAAATTTTGGATTGATCCATTAATACGATTTGCATTGATGTTAGAAAATAGGAAACTTCTCGAAAGCAAGTCTAATAGAATTGTTGAAGATTTGGATTTCACAGATATCTGGTTAAAATTGATTTCAAAATACAGACAGACAATAAAGTATATATATTCTGGATCTTTATAAATAGCTGAGTCGATTATGCCATGTCCGACTTTCTGTATGTAAGTATATTTTTTGAAAACACCAGATAACTTCGGGAACTACATTTTCAGTAATTCTATCAGACATGCAAAACAACTACGTACAGTATCTTTGTTTATGCTTACGTTGTGTTTGTTTTTTTCTTATTTGCCAACATTACTGTAGAGATTGTATATAAATAATTTATAATTATAAGAAAAACCACAATTAATGAAAGAAAATAAATTAAAATTTTATGAAATTCAATTCATAAAAATATAAAAAAAACTATTTTTTTAATATTTTTTATTAACTGTTTTCTAAAACGCACTATGGTTAAGGGTATATACGATTCGGCACAGCTGAAAATAGAACTCTTACTTGGCTTTATTCGATTAATACATTTTAAATAAATATTCTTCTAAATTACAATTATCTAATAACAATAGCAATTTCAAACGTAATAATATTGTTAATAAAAAAGTTGAATAGAAATTAAAATTTTCATATTTCGACAATCATTACTAATGTACTAATTATTTAATGTCACAAAGAACATACAAACTTATATTTATTACATTTTATATTTTAGCTGGTATTTTGGACCTATGTCGCGTCAAGATGCTACTGAAGTGTTAATGAATGAACGTGAGCGAGGAGTATTCTTAGTACGTGATAGTAATTCAATAGTAGGCGATTATGTTTTATGCGTAAGGTAAATCAGTCTCTTTCATACAATTACCTTTCATTAACTAAATTACTTTTATGCATTTTTACATTCATATCATACAGGGAGGACACCAAAGTTAGTAATTATATTATAAATAAAATACAGCAAAATGACCAAATAGTTTATCGCATTGGAGATCAATCATTTGAAAACTTACCAAAACTTTTAACATTCTACACATTACACTATTTGGATACAACACCATTACGCAAGCCAGCTCAAAAAAAAATAGAACGAGTTGTGGGGAAGTTTGATTTTGACGGCAGTGTAAGTTTGTACATGCGTTTTAGAAAATAAAAAAAATTGCCTAATTATTCCCAACAGGATCAGGATGACTTACCATTCCGGCGGGGCGAAATATTAACCATTGTCAGAAAGGATGAAGACCAATGGTGGACGGCAAAAAATTCAATAGGGCAAATTGGACAAATTCCCGTACCTTACGTGCAAAAGGTAATTTATAAATATGTAAATATTTTACCAAAAATTATATCCAAATTATTATGGATGTAAGCTATACTGTGATGTTTCATAAAAAACAGCCACCAGCACGTTCAAAGTATATCTCAGGGTTCAATATATTCATTTACGAACACTTAAATTGATACATTCATAATAAATATATGTATGTACATGAATAAAATTAGCAATTTTTGTTTTTTTATGTTCACATTCGGAAAAGAGAAGCTATTTTTTTCTTTTATTTTAAGCACACAGAACTGAAAACATTTATACATATATTTCATTTTAGCACATACATATTTGTAAAGTGAATGATAAAAAAGAGTGCAAAATAAGACTATGTTCATACATTTGAGTATCACTTTTGTGTATGAAAATAAAACACAAAACAATACATACAAGAATGAATAAAGCATAAAATAGAGCCAGTTTAAAAAAAATATCTACAATTTTATAGAAAATGTTTAAATTGAAATCGCTCCAAAAGGGGCGATTACGAATGGCGACACGTAAATTATTGAAAAAATAGTGGTAATACAGATTAATATAAACATTCAGTAAGTTTTCCAACTCAATTCTTAGTAGGAGAGTTTTTAAGTGAAGAGAAACTTTGAACGTGCTAGTGGCTCTATATTATGCAACATAGCTGTATATTGCCGGCAAAAAATAGAAACGAGAATATTTTTATTTTTATTTTTTCATAATCTACATGTCTGAATTTGATGATTAATATCTCAAAGCTATTTATGTGTACATTATAAAAATTTTGAATTTAGCTAAAATAGGGATTGGACAAAATAAAAGAAAGAAATTATTATCATGCCTTGGGTACGTAACGTAATAAGTTTTGAAATGCTTTTCATTTATTTTGAAAATATGTATTTCTGAAAATTTAAATAGGTTTTTTGATTTGATTTTTCACATTAAAGTTAATTTTATCAACATTTTACAGAGTACATGAAATACGACAGCTCACAGGTCTCACTTTTAAAATTTATTTTTACATATGGGTCATTTCGTGACAAGCGACCCAACTTTAAAAATCGATATCTTTCGATTGATGAAATTTGCACATTTTAGTCATACATGGTTTTATTCAAATGAGTGTAACTTTTCACCTATTGGTTCTAGCAAAAATTGTCCAAAGGAGTTCAGATATCGATTTCATTGTTTCGAAAAAAATTTAAATTAAAAAAAAAATTATTTTTTTTGCTCAAAAGTAACTTAGACAATTTCCTTTATAGGATCCCACTCGCATCCCATAATGGGCGAGTGGGATATCTATTAAAAAAATTTTTTAACTTAAAAAAATATATGGTTGGGGAAATTGTCAATAATATTGTTATTTGTTCTTTGATATAAATCTTTTATACCTCATTGGATAGACAATTTTCTCTAGAAGATAAGATTTGCTCGAAATCAAAATCAAAAAAAAGCCTATTATTTACCCAATTTCACACTTTTCAATCGATTTCCTGCAAGGGTTCCCCTTATTCGATTTGACTAAAATTTAACACCAGTAGTTTTATACACTAAAGAACATAAGACCCATCTGAGCAAAACCGATATCTTTGGACACCTCTAATGTACATGAACATACAATAAATCAAAACTGGTGAAAGTATGGAAACTATCTATTAAAATTTTTTTGGAAGCATCGATAGATAATGTAAGAAGTTTAATTATAATGCTCGACTTTTTGTTTTCTATTCCGACTTCATATAACATTATACTTAATAAAAAATAAAAATGAAATTCCGTTTTAATGTACAGTTGACGAATTTTAAAATACAAACATGTTTGTGCATGCTTTTAATAAAAGAATCAAAATTTATTTAGATAATGTGAATATTTGTCGTAGAGTTTTCTTACAAAAGTACTTAAAATGGGCACAAAATGACCAAGCACAAAATATCAAAAAATATGCAGAGTATTTGTAAAATATCTAAAAGAAATTTATAAGATTCGGTTAATTGTCTGATAAAGTTACAAAAACAATTCTTTTCAGATATTGTGAAGATTTATAGAATATAATTCGTAAGCCATTTCATATTTTACTTCAGAAAATGTGCAGATTATTCCCCTTTATGTCTAAAGAACAAATTGTCCTCCGCCAACGTGCAGAGTAGTATCATAGTTGTCATAACACTGAAATTTCTTTAAGACAATGTGCAGACGAGTCTAATGTTAATCGTTTAATAGCTCAGAAAATATGCAAAGAACTCTAACAAAAAGTTCTCGATTATTCTGTAAAATGTGTAAGAGCGGGTTTTTAAGTTGGCAATTAAATGCCAATTAATAATCAGATTAGTTAATCTAAAAATAAATTTAATCCAATGTTAATCCCCTCTGATGTTTTTGAGTACAAATTAAAAATTCGCAGCGTTGCCATACAAAATAACACAAAACGTCAATGTTTTCTGATAGGATAACGTTAACAGGTGCCGGAACGGCTCTGAAGTTTCTAAGTGTATTTACAAGGGGGAAAATCGATTTTTTTTTAGTTTTTGCTAAAAAATTGCCACATAATAATACATTTTGCACTTTATTGTGAAGGAATCGCAATGTACACATAATAAGCATTTCGGAAAGATATCAAACACAAATATTGGTTGAAAAATTTACAAGTTATTGCTAATTCCCCAGACCATTAACGTGTCTCACAACACATGAATTCGAAATGTGACAAAAAAATTAACATTTTTTTAACATATATTTTAAAAACATTTTGTTACTTAAAATATATCTATAATAACTAGAATATTAGCTGTTGATTTTATACGATAACGCAAACTTTTTCTCAGCTATGGTTAAAAAAGTTTGATTTTTTCAACGGCTGTTTCAAATCTCCTATTTCAGTTTTTTGAAACTTTGTTAAACAAATTTCAGAATTTATAGGTGATCTCATGGGGATTTATGGACAATAGGTAAGGGAATAAAACGGTGAAAAATTATATCAATAAGTCTTACAGGTACAGTTAGTACCTGTGATTTGAACTCGCGGATTTCGGGAAATTCTTTACTGTTGTATATTTTAAATAAAGTATTTTCAGAGAATTATAGATCAGATAATATAAGATATATATTCCAAGTTTTATTTAAATTGGACATTCTTAACCCATAAAATGTGGAGTTCAAAGGTCAAATTTGCAATATTCGGGAATTCTCAGTGCACCATGTCGAAATATTATTTATTTGATGGCCATATTTACCAAAAATTACTGGAATTCATCATATAAAGTCCTATATATAAAATAAAGTGAAAAAAGGGTAAATTAACCCTTTAAGGCACTTGGAAACAATTTTAAACCAAAGTTCAAAGATTCGAAAAAGCACTATCCATATGAAAAAGGTCGACATAATTAAACACATAGCAGAAATATAACAAAAACTTATATATTAGATATAAATATTATATTTAACCCTTTTTGAATATGGAGTAAACTTGAAGTGTACATTCTTAAAAGAAAAATGTTGTTTCTAAAAATGATAACTTATGTAATCCATTCTTTCAGTCGATTTTCGACATAATATGTTAAAAACACATATTATGTCGAGGGTTAATTCATAAGCTTTTGTACCTAATAATTCATAAGCTTTTATACCTAAGGAGAACAAAGCTGAATTAAGCGGCTCCATTACTTGAAAACAAATCCAAAAGTTTGATGCGAAAGACATTATTTGAATGTGAGAAAATACGTAACTCTATAGGTAAGTAGTTCCAGCAACGAGCAATACGAACTAAGAAAGATCTTTCATAGAAGGAATTATTAATTTTGGGTACCAAAATCTGCGGATTCCTAGTCAATCTACTAAAAGTAAACTTATTAAACAACGGTAATGGACTACCAGATTTCATTATCTTATGAAAAGTAATCATACACCGTAGTTTAATGAAATCAGAAAAGTTACATTTTAAAAAGTTATTTACATATAGGGAAATGTGATCCCTTCGACCAACATTGTATACAAAACGAACAATAGTATTAACTATACGATTGATTTTAGATAAATCAATGGAACTAATTTAGTTTAATTTAGTTTAGTTTAAAAAAAGTTCACGATCGGCCCATATTTGGTCCTAGCTCCTATATAAGGTCCCAGATATCACTTAAGTTCACATTACCCGTTACCAAACAATGATATCCATGCAAAATTTGACACAGACATTACTTTTGTATACAAAATGTTGTTTTAATTTTTTCCACGATCGGTTCAAAATATGGGTCCGATCGGATATATCTAATATCACTTATTAAAAATTAGCTACATATATACTTAGAAACAAATTTTGACAGAAATATAGCTTTTATTTACAGAAATATTACTGTAAAAACACTTTAACCGTATATGATTAATTGTAATTAATTATAATGCTGCGAAAAAAAACTTGCAATTGTAACAGATTTAAAATATTTAAATCTTAGCTTTTTCTATTAGAAAAGATGTGAAACCCTTTTTCCACAAATATTTGATTACCTAAAATGTTATTATTATAAAAGTAGCTGGTGGAGGGTATTTAAAATTCGGCTGATCACTCTAACTTGTTTTATTACTGTTATTCCTCTAATTACATATATAGAGCATTATTGAAATGGATAGTGTTTTTACGATTTTTTTTAACTTCGGGGTTAAATTTGTCCCATGTATTTTAAAGGGTTAATTTTACTTTTATAGCTGTTTTAAACATAAGACTTTTTATTAAAAATTCCAGTCATATTTATTAAACATGGCCAACAAATAAATAATATTTCGACATTGAGAGTTCCCGAATATAAAAAATTTGACCTTTGAACTCCACATTTTATGGGTTAAGAATGTCTGATTTTAATATAGCTTTGAATATATATCTTATATTATCTGATCTATAATACTCTGAAAATACTTTGTTTAAAATATACAACAATAAAGAATTAATACGTATACTCTAAATCCACGTATACTCCATAAATCCCCATGAGATCACCTAAAATTTTGAAATTTGTTTAACA